TTTTATTTACATCAAATGTCCAGAAAAGGAAAATCTTTAGAGACAGAAAGGAAACCAGTGTTGCATGTATCGAGGAAGAAGGGTTAATGGGGAATGGCTGCTAACTGCCATAGAGCTCCTTTCTGGGGTGATGAAAATCAATCTTCCTTTGTCTCTCCCCAGATATCTACCTGTCTCTAAAATCTGTGTGTAGCCAAGAAGAATTCTCTCTTTTTTTATTTTTTAGGACATTAGACATCTTTTTTTTAAAAATTGCAAAATGTAAAGGCAATCAGTACTTACAATGCACCCACCATGAGGCAGTCATAGAGGAAAGTCCTTTATATATGTTAATGTAAGTCTCACAAACTATTTAGAACTGAAAATATGCCCAACTCTCCAGATGAAGATTGTGGAGCTCAGAGATGCTTTATTGATTTTGCCCCAACATCAGTGGTGGAGTTAGGATTTCAGCCCAGATCTGTCTGATTTCAAAATCCTGCTGAGTTGACATTCCTCTACTGGACAAGGAAAATTGGTTTGTGATTTTGTATTTCATCATGTTTCTATACTCATTGGAGAGCTCACTCAAATGAGTCATACTTCTCAGAGTATCTCTGTGTCCTCCTTGGGAGAAAGAGTGGGGAGGGAAAGGATGAGGGGAGGGAGGGAAAGGGAAACCAGAGAACTCAGCTGAGTGCTTGAGGTTAACCTAAACCCAACTTCCCCTAGTTGAGCTGGCATTTGCAGCTTGACAGCTTCTAGCAATACACTTTTACTTAATTAGTTGTGCAAATTTGGAGAATACCAAGTGGTGTTCTGGATCAGAAACCATCAGTTCAATGTGGCAGTGCTTGTGCTTCATGCCTGTGAACCCAGATGCCCTGCCTCTGGATAATAAGTAAGTGGGTAACCCTGGGGAAATGGGAGGAAACACAGTACCACATGCAGATTCTGCACTTGTTCTCAAAGCAAATCTCTGTTGCTGTGGTTGAAATTAAGACCTTACAGAAAAGGATAATTACAACTTCCAGAGTATTTTTTCTTGTATTATGCTGTTATAGTCACACAAAAGAATGCGTGTAACATATAAGTTAAACAGTGTAACAATAAAATGAGTGCTCATGAGCACTGATTAACAGAATAGCAATTTTACAGCAGCATTGCATCAATACTACTAGAATATAAGGCCTTTGAGGGCATGGATTTTTGTTTTGTTCACTGCTGTATTCCCCAGGACTTAGAATGGTGCCTGGTATACAGTAGGGAATTAATAATATTTTAAAATAAATACATAAATCCACTCATATTCTCTTTCTTTGGATCATCTCCTCCAGCCTCCCCTCACAGCTAATCATTATTTTATATTCCAGGTTTATTATTCCCTTGTTTATTGATGCTTTTTTTCACATATATATTTCTAAATAACACATCATTTGCTTTGGCTGCTTTTAGAAGTTTAGATGATAGAATTATATGTGTGCTATTGTGAGTTAGGTCTGTTATAAAACATTAGTATGTAGGATTCACCTATATAAAACTTTATCCAGTTCCTTATCATTGCTGAATTGTATTTTATTAAATGAGTGTCCCATAATGTATTTATCTTTTCTCCCATCAGCATACATTTACCATTTCAGCTTTTATAAACAAAACTGCTATGAGCATTCTTGCATGTGCTTCCTGGTACACATGTGCATGAGTTTTTCTAGGATGTAAACTTGGGAGAAGGACTGCAGCTGGAATTTTCATTTCCAACTCCCAAAGGTTAGGCCAGGAGTCAAAACTGCAGTGTGCCCTTTGTCCGCACTAAGCCAGGGTTAGTGGGAGTGCTGTTCAAAATATTTTGAAAGAGAGAGAGAGTTGAAAACTTGTCTGGTGAGGCCAGGAGTTATCTCAGGCCTCTAGGCAAAGGGAGATATAGTTAGTAAAAGCCCAGATTCTAAAATCCTTTTCATTAATTCTCTTCTTCTGTTTTTACAGGCTTTTTTGTGCAATGCATGCTTTATTAAACTCATATCTAATAAAATGTTGATTAATTAACTTAGTCTTTCATTGACTATAAATTTGATTAAATTATTGTATATAATAACAATATTTACAATTTCACTATAGAAGAAAATTTGTATTATTATAATTTTTAATGATAATAACAACTAACTAACATAAGGTCTACCCTCATAATAATATTTAAGTGCACAATACTATACTGTTAACTAGGCACAACTTGATCAAGAGACCTCTAGAACTAACTAACCTTATATTACTAACCATCCATTGAACAATTCCCCATTTCTGTTTCTTAAAGGCCCTTACAAGAGGACTTCTTATTTACTTTCTGCAGGTTTCCATTTTGTTGCCATTTTGATATTTATTCTGTGACCACATAATAATATTGTTAACATCTTCATCTCAGTTACACCTACATACTTTTTTTGGTGTGGAAGTGTACCAGGGATTGAACTCAGGGGGCACTCAATCACAAAGCCACATTCCCAGCCGAATTTTGTATTTTATTTAGAGACAAGATCTCACTGAGTTGCTTAGCACCTTGATGTTGCTAAGGCTGGCTTTGAACCCACGATCATCCTGCCTCAGCTTCCTGACCTATTGGGATTATAGGTATGCACCACTACACCCAGCTACCCTTACATACTTTTATGCTATTGAAAAAAATAATCCTGCCTTTGAGGTGCTTTCACATCTGCAGAAAACTGAACTGTATATCATTTACTATATCTTACTGTTCTTTGCTCCTTGTTTTTCTTCTCTGCTAGAGAGTGAAAATATCTTGATCACCAGTATCCCTAGAACCTAATCTTGTACCTCATCCATAGGGGTAGTGCCACATGTTGAATTGAACCAATCTACCTAAATCTCAAACTTAAATCTCCATAACGTGGTTTTCCAGTGATTAAGAATCTACATTTTGGAGTCATACTTACCTAGGATGGAATTCTGGCATTGCAGTTTATAGACCTGTGATCTTGGGCAAATTTACTTAATTTTTCTGAGCACTGGTTTCCTCTTCTGCAATATAGGGATGATACAGAGCTACCTGGAAGTGTTATTGGGAAAATTAAATGAGATGATTATGAAATGGTCTGTCATGTAGAGTGCTTAAATACAGATTCGTCTGATTTTAATTGAACTGTTTGTGTTACTTATAGAAGTCAAAAAAGGTGAAGAGAGGAGGTAGAATCTTGTGTAAAACTTTGGCTTCTCCTTGTTTCAGGACTGAGGATGGGAACACATATTTTACCCATGGAAATGGTACTTTAGCCCAAAGAAAGACATTCTTTGCATTTGTCTGAATTGTAGGTCAGAAGTAAGTTCCATTCTTGTGAAATGCATGGCCTTGCTGGTCTTGATTTAGTGGTTAGACTCTTGATGGCATTTTACTTAGGGAAGGACGGGGAAGGCTTGCAAGGAGAGTAGATTGGCTACCTGTTTATAGAATATTTCAAGTGCTTTTTCTTGTACCTAGGATTTGAATAAAGGCTGACATTTATCTTGGAGATTCAGTAATTGTAAAGTGTAGCCTAAGTGAAAACTTTCTTGGCTCTTGCCCTGCCTACATGGGGGGTTGAGTGGAAGATAAATATTGATGCATTTTTGGATTCTGATGCATGTGTTAAGCATGATAAAAAACAAGCCATTAATAGGAAGTAAAAACAAGTAGTGGGAAGATGATAGGGTGAAGAAAACTGTTGGATTTGGAGTCAAACCATTCTGAGCTGTCCTCTCCATGTCTTAACTTTTTTTCATCTGTACAATGAATATACTAATGAGACAGTATGCTTGTCTTGACAAGTTGTGGAGTGTTGAAATGACCCAACACACCAAACAGGCTCCCATTAAGTCTTATTTTCCTCACTAAGGAAGAAGTACTCGTAAAATATAGGAGTTATATTCCTGTGGTTGAGAGTTGGGCAGTTGTCATCTATCTGAAGCAGATTAACCACAGGTGGTCACTGAGTTTTACTTTTGCTTAAGCATAGGACATAGGAAAGACCTAAATTGACCTTTGGTAACTAATAACCATGTTCTATTTGTTCAAACTAGAATTAATTACAATGGGAGATTAAGAATTACCATTCCATGAGGGTTTTGGATTGATTTTCTTGCCCTTCTCTTTCACTTCCACCTAGAAGTATTCAGGCACAAATATTCTTATGGTTAGGCAGTCAACTAGGTGACTTCTAAAGTTCCATCATTATTCAAGGAACCTGTGAATTTTGTAATGGCCAAATGTTTTGATAAAAGCCAAAACAATATCCAGCATCACTGTGTATCATTTCTCAACAAAAGCTTCAGGCCTACCTAGAGATTCTGCTACTTAATTTTATACAATGGGGCAGGGGAATATGATCTGGAGAGACTTTTAAGGGAAGTGAAGGAATGGAAGAAAAGACCATTGAAGACTAGCTTGATAATACTGTGATCCTTCACCTGTGTATTCATCCCAAGGACCATTGTCTGATTATCCATTGTCTGACTTATATTGCCACTCATAGTAGCAACTCAGTAGAATGGGTGATATTATCCCCATTTTATGGATGAGATTCCAGGGTTAGAGAGCTAAAGGAGAACACATCAAACTGTTTTGATATTTGGTGTAGTTTGGCTATAGATCTTGTTTCAGATGAGATAAAGCTATAGGATACTGTTTAATTACTCCGAAAATGTTGCCTGACCACCCACTTAAATTAGATAACTTAACCTCAGGTTTCCTGCCTACATTCTTGACTCATATAGACATTTCCTATGAGATTGGTTGATCCCAGAGAACTTCCTAAATCCCATACCAGGATCCAAATGGTCTGTCTACACCTGAGGAAACCCTACAAATACCATCCTTAGAAGAAATCCCAGGAAAATTCAGCTTCACAGTAACTCATTTGACCAATGAATAATAGTAGTTTATGCATACAGTTTATTCCTTAAGACTTTAGGATTCTGCCCTCCTAAGTCTGCTACCCACTAACATGTTTTGCTTTGTGATTTGTGTGTGTTTCTAGTATGGAGAATGCCAGGGACCACGTTTTGCCCATCGACTATTACTTTCCACCTCAGAAGACATGCCTGATCTGTGGGGATGAAGCTTCTGGCTGTCACTATGGGGCTCTCACATGTGGCAGCTGCAAGGTCTTCTTCAAAAGAGCTGCTGAAGGTAAAGCCTTATGCACACTCACTTCTATTTCCCTTTCTCCTTTTCCTCTCAGAGTGACACATTCCAGGGCCCAGGATTCATGTTGGTGATAGGGTCATTGGCAGGGCTTTCTTATAAAACTCAGAAGCCCAAAGAAGTAGATTTTCATACTTGCTAGTCTCCAGGCTTTGGCTCCCTTGGTTGTACAGGCAATACAGGCAATGAAGGTGGTCCCAGCTGGTGCTTGGTGTTCAGTGGGTCCTAGGAATAAAAGAAAAATTAATGATTTGAAAAATGTAATTTCCTTCCTGCTTGTTTTCCACTCTGCTGCCTAGTGAGGGAAAAAATTGTCCTTATTAGAGAGGTTAGAAGTGGAGAAACCCCAACTGAGTCCCCAGCCTGTTCTCAGTGGTGAATATAAGACTGTTCCTCTGCAAAAGACTTCCTGGCCTCAGCCCCAGAAAGGAAGTGTTCTCGCTGTTCAGCAGACCATCAGTCTCTGCACCTGCTCCCTCCTGCTGCTGCCTCCTTGGGATCTCTCTTTGCATTAATAGCTCCTGAGTAGGTAAGAACCCAGAGTGAAGAAAGGCTTTTATTGTCCTCACTAGAGGAATGACCTCAGGGCCTCCTCATTGGTCCAGAATCTCAAGCTAAGTAGTATTTTATATCTATCTAAGTAGGCTGAAATCCTGGTTGCTTAATCCTATTTCACTTGAAACAACTCATGTCTGCTCAGCACCCAGAGGTGCTCCTCCTATATCCTATAGGATGAATTGCCATTTTCAGACCTGTTAAAAATTCTAGTGACTCTGTCCTAACCACCTGGGGCTTAAGCCCCTATTTGTCAACTTCACTCCCCTCCTTGTACTAAGGGCTTCCTTCTCAAAGGGACACTGTACACCAGCCTCACACAAAGATTCTCTGCTATGTGGCCAGATCTGATTGTTAAACACCAGTGTGCTCGCCTGCCCCACTTTCCAAAAAGCAGCTACTTCCTGCCAAGGCCTTTTTCTCTTCCTGGTCTGGAAGAGTCAGAGTTCTAAGTCACAACCAAGACAGAGAGCCTTTCCTCATGTAAGGGCTATAAATCCTGAGGACAGTCTTAAGAGAGGTATGTAGGTCACACCTTTCACCAGGAATGTGCTGATATCCATCAGAGGGCAGCAGAAGTACTGGAGAGTTCTTGGGTTCAAGAGGAAAAGTAGAAGTCTGGCATGGTGGCACATACAATATGGCAGGGGTGTATATTGCTGTAATCGCAGCAACTTGGGAGACTAAGGCAAAAAGATTCCAAGTTCAAGGACATCCTCAGTAACTTAGTGAAATCCTCAGCAACTGAGACCCTGTCTCAAAAAATAAAAAGCCCTGAGGACATGGCTCAGTGTTAAAGTGCCCTTGGCTTCAATCCCTGATACTGCCAAAGAGAGAGACAGACAGACAGACAGACACACACACACACACACACACACACACAGAGAGAGAGAGAGAGAGAGAGAGAGAGAGAGAGAGAGAACAAAGTTAAAAAATAGGTACCCTTTAACTTGCCTCCTTGTTGATAACCAATCATAAATGATGATGGCAGTTTCATCATTTTCTTCCAGTGCCCAAAGACGTAAGGAGGCAATTAACATTTTGTTTTACTAAAAACATGCTTTATATTCCAACTATACCCCTGCAACTGTTTATGCTGCGCTAATACAAAGTTCAGGGCCCATTCTACATACAGGCAATTTCAAAAGACCTGAGAGAACTGCCTTCCCTTCTTAACAGTACTTATGAAAGATGACTGTCAGCAAAGGAAGTAAGGAGAAGGTTCAGGGACTTTAGATTACCCCAGCTTTACCAGTAATACCCTGACACTTCCCCATACCCTGTCATCTCAAAGGCACTGTATCTGGGGCAGTGAATGGCCCAGAGAAGCTGTCTAGTATTTCAGCAAGTCCAGCACCACAGTAGTTAGTAGTCATATCAGATTTTGATATGATAGAAAATGAGTTCAAGTAAACATGCAAATAAACAAATTCAGTAATAAAATAGATTAGATTATACTAATGTGGGTTTTACAAATCTGGGTCACTAACTTGTTGTTTTCAAAAAATGGGGAAAGTGATCAACCATATTGTGAAGGGTAGATTTTGCTATCACATTCTATTTCCCACATGGGAGATTTATGAAGAACTTAGGGCTGAAAGAAGGAGATGGGCAGAAGGGCATTTGGTGGGGCTGTGTACATGGGAGATGCTCTGCTATGATGCAGATCCTGGGCTATTTAAAACAGTGAAGAGAAGTGATGAGGTAGTGGATGGAAAGAATAACCCAACTTTCAGAGTACTTAGAAATCCTATAAGGTCTCAAAATGCTGCAGACCCTAGAATCATTTAAGTTAGGGAAAGTCGGTAATATTGTCTTTAAGAAATTGACCATCTGTGAGCTCACGGGATCAAAATCACTTGAAAAGCCATAGACAGACAGCAAGCCTTTTGAGCCTATTGGTTACTTTGAAAAATGGACCCCAGATTCCAGTTTTGAGGCCTTTGAGGGACAGGAGAAGGGGGTTTAAAAATAACACACACAGATGTGGTGACACATCTGTAATTCCTACAACTTGGGAATCTGAGACAGGAGGATTGCAAGTTTAAGGCCAGCCTGGGCAATTGAATGAGCCCTTGTCTCAAAAAGGGCAGGGGATGTTATCTCAGAGGTAGTATGCCCCTGAGTTTCAATCAGCAATACCCAGTCCCCCACATTCCCCTCACCACACACACACACACACACACACACACACACAGAAAAAAAACTCAAAAAATAAATAAATAATTGGTGTTTGGGTGTTTTCTTTTTCCTCCCAGCAGCTATAAAGTTAGAAGGCTTGAGTTTATTGCTGTCATTATCCTTATTTGAAGGCAGGGGGCTGTCTTATTACCTAAGGAGAACATTTATTGATTTGTTTTCTTTCCATTTTTACAATGCATCTTTATTGCCCAAATAGCCTTTCTGAAGGTGGTTCTGCATTTGCCTTGCTTATACTTGGAATTCTACCTGTTTTGAGAGAGTAAGAACACAAATCTTTCTCTTTCTCATTTGTTTGTTGCTCTCAGCTAACTTATACTGAGTATTCTGAGTGTTGATTATCACTTTATTCATAGTTTTCAGAAATCTCTGGACTGGGCACAGGTACAAGAGTTAAAAGCCTGGTGTGTCAGACAGAAATGCATTTCTAGATTTGGTGGTTCATAAAGCATGAAGCTTTAATGCTGTCACTGGTGAAGAGCTCTGCACAAAATCTAAGGTAATCTGGCCAGGTTCCCCCCACCATTAGGGAAGTAGAGGGGGAAGAGTCCCACATTTTCTCATTGTTAGTAATACCAGGGAACATGAATGAGGCAGGGAATAATTTGCATATTTTTGAAAGAAGAAATAATGGTATTAGGCCATAAGGGTAAAATCACTAAAATCTTTAGTAAGTTTCCCTTGAATGTGGAGGGGTATGGGAGTTGTTTGGGGGATGGGCTGTGGGTTAGTAAAAATCATGAGTAAAAAAGCAGGTTTGTGGTGTGAGTAGGGGAATTAGAAATGAAAGGGAAGGCATGTAGGATACTATGTAAAAACCTAGGAAGTCAAACGAAGGTAATACCCATATAGAGCAACTTACAGAGATTTGGTTGTGTAGCGTTGAATAATAAATTCCCTCCTTTCAACCTCAGTTTTCCTTTTGTAGTATAAGGGGAGGGGGTTGGACTAGATGTTTTTATAATGTCCTTTGTGCTTAGACTTTTTGTGAAAGTTGTACAAATATCATCACCTTTATTACAGCTATCACGTATTTATACCTGTGTACACTTTTGGTTTTTGCCTTCCCAGTAGGTGGTAATCCCCAGATCCTAATTAATAAAGATGGTGCCAGAGCCAGCTAGAGAGCAAGCGCACTATGCACAGTAGGGTTAAAACCCAGGACTCTGAGATTCTCCCTTGTGACCATGGCTGGGTAACTTCCTTTCTTTTCCATTTTCTCATCTGGAAAATCAGGATATGAATCCCCATCTCCCCCTCATCATGTTTCAAAGAGGGTTAATTAATTCATCATGTGCATTATGTGCTCAAGAATTTACTATTTTTTCAGACATTTTCTAGTAAAACGTTAGAGATTGTACATCCATTTGTTTTGTACACATGGAGCGCTGTTTGGTACACATCATAAAATTGAAACTGTAGTTTACATTCTGAGCTCAAAGAATTACACCATCCTCACTGATGTTTACAATAGGTCCCAATTTAGTTTCCTTGGCAGATTTTATATAAGTATGGCTTTGATTCTCTCTCATGCCCCAGGTTTTTGTGAGGGAAGAAATGTAAGTGAACCCATATTGAACTCTTTCTGTCCTTTAAATCCACTCTTTCCCACCTCAACTCATATGGAATTGAATGTTACCTCTTTTTTGGAGTGTTGCAGAGAGTTTTTGGTGAATGTTAGTTTCCTCTTCACTCCCTGACTTTTTCAGTAACATTTCCCAGGGGCAAATTAACTCTGCCAGGAGGGTCTGCTTATAGCTTCAATAGACTTTATCAGGTATCTTTGGCCAAGAAGTTGACTGGTCCTGACTTTTTGACTCTTAGAAATCTTTTCACAAAGCTCCTCTCATCTTTCTGTTTCTCATTTTCTTAAAAAGTCATTGCCAGACTTTAGATCAGAGGTTGATAAACTTTCTGTAGAGGGCCAGGTAGTAAATATTTTAGGCTTTGCATGTCACATGGTCTCCCTCCTCTCAATTAGTCAGCTCTGATTTTGTAATGTGAACTCAGCAATAGACAATACACAAACTAATAACTGGGCTCCAATAAAACTTTATGGGCACTGAAATTAGAATTTCATTTAATTTTCACGTTATGAAATAATATATATTTTTTACTTTCATCAACCATTAAAACTGTAAAACTTAATCACAGTTCTTACAACTCACAAAACAGGTGGTAGACTGGATTTGGCTTTTGGGCTACAGTGTGTTGACCAACACTGAACATAG